TGCGCTGTTCAAATGAAAAAATTTGCAATTTAATGCTTTGTTCTGAACATATTTTCAAAAGTAAGATTTTCTACAGCTCGTCTGAGGTATCAAAACATTGTGCGAGGTCACTTCCCAACAAAAATAGATAGTATTGCGAAATTTGTTCACAAAAATCATAAGCACTGGTATATCACAAAGTTTAGCCCCCCCCCACCCTTCTAGAGTCCTGCATTTTTTTACAGCCGCATTTTTTCTGTCCAAGTTTCTCCAAATTCAGTCCTTTCAAAACTGCATATTTAGATAATTATTCACTTTCAATCGTATTAGAAGAAGCACAACGAGATTAATTAGTCATGAAGATGTCAAAACTTTTTACAAATTCTTCGAAGGACCGCGTTTATATCTATACAACATTCCTTCCAAGTTTTATAAGAAGGAGTTCTGGTTTGAAGTTTCAGTTTCTAAAGTAGTGGTTTCTGTACATAAGAGGGGAATTTTCAGCACCTCGTGGCTTTATTTCGGTACAATTACCTTCATCTGTGAGAATACGGTAACACAAAAGTAGGTCATGCGAAGAATGTGAGCTATTTGTTTACCGTATGCCGGTATAATTACACTAAACAGTATAAATACATACACGAAAATACGCAACGGCGGGTAAGGGAAAATCTTCATCTCATTCACAAATTATTTGTTATTAAGCGCTACTGTAATAAATGAGGTTTTAAAGAAGTCATTTTTCATTGAGGAAAATGATTATAAGCGCTGCTGCAGAGCTCTACAAAACTTTCACAGTAAAAATCCTTACTTATTTTCGCAGAGAAATTAGCTCTCACCTGGTATGCGAATTCCTCGTTTTTGATTTCCAAGTCGAAACCGACGCCTTTCTCGAAGGGATTCTTGCCCTCACGCTCTTCATTGCCCCATTCGCCGTTCACGAGCGAGTTCCTGATCACGCACTGCAAAAAGGTGGGCTTGACAAATGGCTGGGCAGCATTTCAGAGCCCCATGGGCTGCTGAAATGACTCGAGAACGGGACGGACGCGACACGAGAACAGAACCGACTAGGGTTAGCTAGACGCTACTCGTCTCGGACACGGGACACGGAAGAACTCAAACAACACTCTATGGCTCTCGATTAGTCAGCACTGAACCAAGGATCGATCACTTAGATGGCGCTAACCTCGTTAGTACAACAAGGATCGCAAGGGTCGCAAAAGTCATTCTGCAAAATTGCGTAGTGGTCAGTGAGCTCTCTTATCTCTCAAGAACAGAAGTTCGACGAGCAACACATATCGCGATGTCAGTGTGTCACGACGTAAGCTTTTGCCCCTCTGGGGACCTTCTGGATGTCAGTCACATTTGTCGCTGTTCTGTTGGAATAATCGCGCGCGACATGCGCACGATTTTCTGCCAAAAAGCGCACGAGCAGCGAGTGAGTGAGCGAAAACACAAAGAACGATCACACGCCAACACAAAAATATTCAGTAAAACGTACGCCCGGCTTGATTTTGCCGCAGATGAAACCTTTTGCCTAAAAATGCGATTAATCGAAATTAGAGAGATGGTAACGTGGTAAAAGTGGGTACTTTACCTTTTCGTCAAAACGGGGATTAAAGTGGAGTGCGATGTCCCCGTTCTTCTTCAGGAGATTCACATTGAACCTAAACATGATCC